CCAGCTCCCCTCGCAGAATACTCAAAATCCAGACTGCAATGTAAGTGCATAAACTGGAGCTAAAGATTTTCAGCCTATTTTCTAAATGTGATCTTACGTTTCAAATTTTATGGGCTCCAACTACACTGAATTTAAATAGCTAAAGCTAAGTGCCTTTTGGAGCAGGCTTATTATCAGTTTAAGATTTTTTTCCTGGATAGTGGTGTTACCTACAGGCTATGCATTAATTTAATAGTGGTTTATTTACTTTCTTGCAGAGACAATAGACCCACATCAATCTCATTAACACTGCTGTAAACCAGGAACAATGCCAAAGAGTCTGTTGAGTTAAGGTAGTATGAAGAGAACTGGAAAAAAAATCAGCAGAAATAATCATTATAATCCCACTGAAGACAATAAAACCAGACCAATTTACATTTTCAAAAGACTGAACATTTCTGAATATCTGCCAACTTAGTCCCTGTAGAATTAAATCAAATCACACTCACTGCTTTCTTAAAGACAATACGTTGTATTAAAATCCACACTTTTATATTCATTAAGAATTTGTGAGCCTGGGAAACTCATTTTTTTAAGGTTGTTTCCCCATCCCCCCCTTTTAAAACCAGCTTCAGAAAAGATCTGTGCATTCAGCAAAATTATTATGTCTAAGGGAGGACTGCAACCTGGCAGATCTGATCACCAGGGATAACCACTGTCCCTACTGTGCTTTCATGAAAAGAAATGAAAGACAAATAAAAGATTATAATGTCTCTGCTTAAAAAACAGAAACATCTGCTGGAAACATAGGTTCATGGGCAGCTTTTCTGATGAATTCAGCATTAAGATCAAGTTGCATAGCTGTGCACTGACCATAAAGTCTTGGTGAGTTTAATGCCACATTATGGTTCAGGCAACTTGTTTATACAATGGATGTCTACCGTGCACAGATGAAAACAATTTGGTGAACCAACACCAAAGTGGCTTTCTTGTGCAATGCAGCAATCACAAGGGCCAGACAGAGACAGGCTGGCATAAGCCTTCTAGCTCAGACACCACACTGACTTTACATGCTTGCTATCTCTCCCTTCCAAGCAACTCTCACGATGAGATGCAACAAGAATATCCTTTTCCTGTTACCTAGCCTTCAAAAAGCAGTGAAGTGCTCTACTCTGAATTGTACAAGTACTGTACACTATCCATCCTCACCTGCGGTGACTCAAAGCAACTCAGGCATAAGGAAAACAGGCAGTACAGGAATGTGACCAAAGTTTGTGTTTCCAGCTAATACCTTGTACATTTCCCTAAATAAAGCTGCAGGCAGCTTTAAGGCTTTGATGGCAATAACACCAGCAGGAGACTTCTATCCCTTACTGGGCCAACTTCTCAGAAATGCAAGTAATCATACACTCAGTTGTTCCTCTGTATCTCCAAGGTTATGTACAGGAACACTCCAAACACCTGTGTGCAATGACTTATGAATTAACTGTGTTTCAAACACTCTTAGGAAAATGAACTTTTAGGTTCTTATCTTGCAAAGATCTGACTGACTTGGATGAGTCTTAACATCACGACCCCATTCTTAGATTGAATTCAGGTTAACAGTGCAGAGGACAGTAAATGGTGAGTGTCAAGTCCAGTTTCAAAGATTTTCTAAGTTTTCATTTTCCTTGTTCTATTGACAGAAGAGCACCTGTATTAAAAAAAATTCGCTTCCATATTTTAGGTAAGAAAATACAAATCTTTTGACATTTGAACACTCTTCACAGAAACTATTTGCAAAATACCTTGGCAGGGAATTTAACTGTACTAAATTGTACTGAGAGATCAAAACCAATCCTTTGTTCAAGAAACACAGAAACAAGTAGATGGACCGTAGATGGCAGGTGACCAAGTGAATCCTTTGACTGAGATGATTGACACGTGGCATTGTTAAAACTTACACTTGCTGCCCTGAGTAAAAGGGCTCTGTAAGATTAGATCTTTGATTACAGGGAGTAAGTATTCCATAAGTATTTCTTCCATTACTTCCATGCTAGCTTATAATAGCTTGTTTTTATCACAGTAAGTGACAGAAGGCATGAAAAAACCCCAGCTGCTTCACAATATATTCCCACAGATAAAGGTACCTAGTGTTGAAAAAAGTATATAAAACCCCCAGTATTTGTAGCAGGGAGTTTAACTTTGCTCAGGATTTCTGCAGACTGCTCCTATTAGTATCTCTGAAAAGCCCCTGGGCATTGGCATATTGCAGGGCATCAGTTATGGACCACTGCATGCAGAACTTGCAATCTGGCATGGTGCTTTTCAACCCAATCCAAGACTAAATCAAGGAAAAAAACATTTAAAATTCTGTTAATTTTTTGATTATCACTCAGTAACCCTAGCCACCTCATTCCTCCCTTCCTGCATCCTTTACTACCCATGTTTCATGCATCCCTATTCACCTGACTGCTGTCACCAGGAAACCATGCCTAAGTTTCTCAGCCTGTCTGGGATTATCACAGCCAGAATGCAACTCAGCATCAATATAAGCAACTGAAAAAGGAGAGGAGCAGACATTTCAGGAGCCACTCTGGGTCTGTGCATGTTCTAAATAGGGCCCTAGTCATACTGTGTGAAGCTTCTGTTATCTGAGATTGTTTTAATATATGGATGGTAAAGCAAAACTGCATTTACTTCATAACTACCTTATCCCTTCAAACTCTGAGTCATCTAAGGCCAGGCAAGAATGGGAGAAAGAAATTTTACAGCAATTTTAAACTGTCAACTTTCTTCCAAGCCTCTCATTACAGCCATAACATGTTATTGTTTAAAAAAACCAACCAAACAAAAAGATACCATAATTGAGTTCTATTCCTGGCTCAACCACCAACTCAGCCTGACCTTGGGCAAGACACTCGGTTTCTTTGAGCTTCAGTTTGTGCAGCTGTAGAACTGAATAAAAAAATTAAATCTTAACAAAGAACCAGATGCTTCATCTAAGCTGAGGTTTTCTGAGACAAAAAAGAAAAAAAGCTAAAATAAAGTGAGCACTAAAATAGTTGCTTCAAAAAAAGAAAGTTCTTCTGCTTCACAGCTCCAAATTCCTAAGCCTATTAACATTAGATTCAGGAAGATTCCTTAAGGAAAATGTCATTTATACCAAATGCCAAGTACTCACCAAGCTCTCAGATGCAGGCTAGTTCACTCATTTTGGTTAAACATTTTGATTATTTCATGTGGATCAGTTTCAACCAAGTTTTAGGAGCACTAAAGTTAACAGATGCTGATGTGAAAAGGTACAGGCAAAATGGAACACTGCAGCTCCAGGCTAGCATCTGAAACAATTCTTGGCTCTGACAAGATGCTCAGAAAGGAACTCCAGGAACATAATTTGAATATACTCCCACTCTGAACTGGTTTACCCTTTCCAAAGATCAGGATATATAAGAAAGATCCCCTATTAACTGAAAGGCTGCAACAGTACCCCTTTTCCTTCTGAATCCTCCCAATCATTTTGGCCAGTGTGCTATGAATAAATAGGATGGTGAGGGGTTCACCTGACATAACAGAAACTCTAATGCATGTTTGAAAACTGCATTAAGCATAGCATTTCTCTCTTTTCAGGAACTCTATGGGAAATGTAGCAGAATCAAACCCTTAAAATAATATATCAGTAAGTATGTGGAAAGATATTGCCAGCATTAACACTTCCATAAAGAGACACATTTAATACTAAAAGGAAATTACTAGCTTAAGAGATTACCAAAATTTCCAAAGTTAAATCACCAAGCCTGAAGTTGTGCGTCATAGCATATCACAGGATCTGAGCAAAGGCCTCAACTTTACTACAACCACAAGATCATTTGATAGCTTGAATATGAATATTTTACACTATAAAGGAGAGTCTCAGGCTTTTTTCTTTTTTCCCTACTTAGGGGCTCTACAAGACTACAAAACCCTTTGGTCAAGGAAGCAAATAAGGCAAAAGACTATGTTTTAGGTGGTTTATCTATTACTCAGTAGTAGATATTTCTGCCCTGATGGGATTTTAAGGGGTTTTCTGACTCGCCTGTCGGGTCAATGTGATTAACACCCCAAAGTGGCCCAGGGACGGCCCCGGGCTCAGGTGTTCCCGTGTCCCGCTGTCTGTGCAGGCTGCGCTCTGTGCCACCCGCCTGGGGAACGCCGCCAGCGCCGCGGCCGCCCCGCCGAGCGCAGCGCGGAGCGGGGCCGGCACTGGCGGCACGGGAGAGGGATGGAGCCGCTGCCCTGCCGCCAGGAAAAGCCGGGGCTGAGCTCCTGCCGCTGCCCTGGCCTGGCAGCCGAGCGACCTCCACCCACCTGGCGAGTGCGACGGCCTCTTGCCCCAGGAGCACTGCGGCAGCAACCTGCACCTCAGCGAGGCATCATCCACGGCCGTGCTGCCGGGGAAACCTTCCCAAACCCCATCCCAAGCCCACACCGAGCGTCGAGGAGTTTTGCTGTTCGGAAAGCACCTGAGCATCCATTCCGCATACCACAGGTGTCAATAGCAGCTGGGTGAGGTACCGTATCCTTGGAGGTTTTTAGAGTCCCTAGAGCCACCCAGTCTTCCCAAGCTAGTGAAAATCATGGCTTTCTTCACCCTGGAAGACAGGTCTGCCTCCCCCCGCCCCGCGACAGGTCCCACCATGCTCCTACCCGATTCGCAGGCTCCCTTCTGGACCTGGGCGACGGCGGGCAGCCCGTGCTGCAGCGCCTTGCGGCTCACTGCCTTCAGCTGGCAGATGTTGTCGTAGGTCCGGCCGTCGCTGCCGCACACCTGGGCGCTGAGCTTGCACTGGCAGACGCCCTTGGCGAAGCGCTTGCCCATGGGGTAGCGGCAGTCGAGGCTGTCCCCGCAGGGAGGGTCCTCCTTGCGGCCGCAGGAGTCCCCCTCGCCCGCGGCGCAGATGAGGCAGCAGCCGCAGCGGTCGGGGACGTACCCGCTGGGGCAGCTGGGGCTGGGGCACGTGGAGACATCGCAGCGGGCCGGGCACTTGGCGCGGCCGAGCGGGAGCTCCGCGGCGTGCGGGCCGGCGCTGAGGGACAGCAGCAGCAGCGGGCTCAGCAGCGACACCCGCATCCTCGGCGGGGACGGCGGCGGCGGAGCGGCGTGCGAGCCCGCCCGGCCCCGGGGCAGGAGGCGGGAAGGTGCGATCGCGGCGAGGGAAGGGGAAGGCGGGCTTTGTGCACACTCGGGCAGGACAGCGTCTTCTGCCGCGGGCAGCGCTTCTGCGGGCCGAGCGGGACGGCGCAGCGGGAGGAGGGCGGCAGGCCGCAGCACAGGCCCGCGGAGTCACGGCCGGCTCGGTCCCCGCAGGACTCAGCTGGCCGGGCTGAGGGGCCGAGCCATGGCACGGAGCGCCGAGGGCAGCGGAGCGGGAGGCGAGGGAAGGCGGCGGCAGCGCAGCAGGGTTATATGTGGGACGGGCCCGCCACCCCCAGCAGCACCGGCAGCCCCGGGCGGGCAGGCTCCACCCCGGGCGGGACGGACGGACGGACAGACAGAGTGGGGGGGTCCGCTCCCTTCATCTGGGCGTGCGGGGCAGAGCCGCCCGTGTGCTGGTAAATCACCGGCGTGAGGCGCGCTGTGCCGTCCGCTGGACAGCAGCGGCTGTGGGTGCCCGACGTGGCACAAACAAAGGCGAATCTGTTCCGGCTGAGCGTTGTGACCGCTCTGAGTTCGGGGGCAGAGAGCCGAGAGCCGCTTTGCCTTCCCTTATGCTTCCTTTAATGTCAGCAATAATAAGGGAGTTAGTTTGTCGCCACTGCCACCGAAGGGTAATCAAGTTTGGCCTCTCTTAGTTTGGTCTCTGTTGCAATGTTAAACACGCTCTTGGGCACGAATCCCTCTTTGCAGGTGTCGGAGCAGAGGCACAAGTAGCTGAACATAGTCCTTGTAGCCATTTGTTCTGCTTGGCGTCATTAAACATTGTACGAGACACTTTCCAGCTGCCAAAGGGGACCTGCCGGGCTCCCCACTGTCATTTGCTTCCACAAAAGATTTGGCAGCTTCTCTGTAATACTAGTTGGACATAATGCCAAAGCCTTAATATTTGAGGTTTGGGCTCTTTTTAATCTATTCTTAAATGTATTCAGTAAGACTGTCAGGTGGAAGAGAGCATCTGTTGAGCTCTGTCAACTAGTCACCTCGACAGTCTTCATAACACACAGAGTAAATTTTGCTCATGCATACCACCTTTATTAAGAAAATACTTCTGTTTTAAGGTAATTGCAACTTTTATTCGGCATAACTTTAAAATTAATTAATCATAGTATGGGTTGAGCTGGCTTTCAAAAGAGTTAAGCTGACTTCAGAAAAAGGATGTCTTACATAGCTCATCCAGGGACTATACCAAACTTTGGAAGTCTTACTTGCTGGATATGACACATCCAGCCTTGACTTCTGCCTGCAGTTCCCCTTTCCCTCTTTTTCACACAAGGGATAAAACTCATGTAGTCCTGCAAAGTACTACCTCAGGCCTTTTGATGGGATCCTATGAACTAAGTTTAAGTAGGCACAATTTACTGAGCTGCATCAGTCTATAGGGTTGAAATCACCATACTGTGTTCTAATTAAGGACCTCTTGAAGGCAGTAGGCAGCAGCCAGAATCCCCCACTACAGTTAATGAGTTAGTGTTTTGTTGTTTCCTCTGTTATAGGGGCAGAGTTGGTCCAAGCCTGGATTTTCCAAGCAGCAGCAGTCTCACTTATGACAAGAAAAAGGTATACATCATAGCTAAAGATGTGGCATGTCTTATGATAACAAAACTGTAATATTTTGCTGTAGCTTATATTTTTCCACACTTTGAAAAGGTAAGGTTTACCTAAATGACTTTATAGTGCAGTATGTAAAATATGAAAAATGTCAGTATTTTGATATAAACTTGCCCTTTAAGGAAACAGACTAATAAAACTGAAAAGTGGTTGGCCTGAAACATGGATCTGAAGGAAACAAGAGCACTATGTGTAGGTAAGGTGAATATTTTCATTATTTACAATGACAGTTACAAGGAAGAGGTTGGGAAAAATTTCTCAAATTACAAAGTAGTAAATACAAAATAGTCTGTGAAGTACTGCTGTTACTAGTGTTGGGTCTTGTTATCTCTGTAGTCACACTTGGAGACTGCAGACACAATATAAGAAAACAGGGTGAATATCAACAGATAAATACAGCCACCTTTATTGGAGAGAGTTTGGCATATAAAACGGTTCACATCAGCCTGCATCTCATTTATTTAGGATTAGAAAAAATAAAATAAATAAATCTGAGAGGTGTTTCCTGCTAACTAACTGGCATCTTGTAGCCAAAATATAACAGATGAAGTTATTTGTCTCAGATAAGCATAGGCATAGTATGGGATACATTCCCCCCAAAACTCATTATTCCAAATAAAAGAATCATGCAGAGAGTAAGGTTAGGAATAAAAATGAAACTCACAACAAGTATTGGCTGTGTTCCTCTTGGGAACAGTGAGTAAAGTTTTTTGGCTCAGTTGACACTTGTTGAACACCTTTCACTAGAATTTGAACTCATTCAGAATTCAAATGTGGCACTAAAAGCTGTTTAGATGATAACTCATTCAGTAACTGTTCTCCATTCCTTGGAAAAATGAGCATTTAATGGGTTCTGAATCACCTCTGTCTGGTGGAAATGATGCTTTACTGCAGAGCTGGAAGGGAAGGGAGGTGCCTCAAGACAAATCCAAAGCAATGCAGCAAATGTTACTGGTGACTCAGTGGGTCTCCGTTTTCTCTCTTGAGGCCCAAATTATGTTTTGCAAGTCCTAAAGGACAGCAGAGCATGCAGTCATCATATCCTCAACAGAATATCAAGAGTTATCTCAAAAAAGTCACCTACTGCATTCTGAACTCTCCTCTTTTCTTTCTCACAATAGGAAAGAAATTCTTGTTGCCTTTTATGAAGTTAATTGTCCTTTTGTGCTTGCTTGTTTGCATCTCCTGGCATACATGCAGGTCAGGTCCCTGGCTGTTCCTGGTTGTGCCTGGCAGCATGTGTGTCATCAGAGCCATGGATGCTGCACTCTTCTGTGCTGTGTAGGCCACATAGCCATGACAGACAAATAGGGTGGCACATGACATTACACAGAATTAAAAGTTAAATGATGCTTTAGTGCTGTTCTGGGGATCTAGATGGTGCTGATAATGGAAGTGCCATTTGAATGCTATCTAAATCTAAATTTATGAGCCCATAACCATTAAAATGCATACTTAACTGCTTGAGTAGCAGAATATTTTCCACTCTGTCTTGTCCCAATCCATACTCGGTAATTATGTGCCATCTCTTTAAATCTCTATGTGTCTCTTAGTTCCAAAAATCACAATGCATTCCAATTCACACAGAGTCCTAAATCCTATTATTCTAATTCATCTTGGTGTATTCATAAGTCTTATAAGTGACTTTGGAGTCAATAGTATAATTCTTTGGAGTGAATTTCTATGTAATTCAAATTTCTTGTTCTTTCTTTAATATAGTTAAAGACCAGAAACACTCACTCCTGTTATAACGTAACTATACAAATTGTGTAAGTTAAAGACCCTCTGACCTTGCCATTGAGGTCTCTAAATTAGGAGCACATGTTTAATATTCATGCTCACTTCCTCGTAGGAGTATTTTGAAAAGAAATCCAAAGCACACTTTAAACTGGAGTAATAAACACTGTTTATTTATCAGATTGTCTGCATCTCATTTCCTGAACTAAACAGCAAAAGTCTGTTTGCACTCCTGACATTGCAAGTCTCACAAGCTGATCCAAGAGAACATCTGTCAGTTTGTTTTCAAGACTGGACATTGCAGAAGAAAAGAAGAGGTGGGAGAAGAAATGAGACTTTCACAAATACATCAGTTCAAACAAAGTGAGAACTTTCTCAGCTGTCTTCATATGCCAGGCAAGCTGTGCCCTAGAAATCTACTTTTAAGGAAAAATTCTTTCTCTTTCCTCCATTCCCTAATAGTAATTGAAAGGCAGAGGTAATTTTTCTTTTTTGTGTTCTGCCTTAAATTGACGCCAATAAATAATCTTTGGAAATGTTAATGAATCCAAAAGTCTATTCAAGAAATGTTCTGAAAGTATACTGAAAGGAAAGGTAAAAATCCAGAGCTTTTTCTCCTCTAACATGTATTCAGCTATTCTGAACTCATTGCATTTGGTGCAGGAGAAAAAAGGTAGGCTTTTGGCACAGACACAGGATGATCTGAAGGAAATGCCACAGCCTGCTCTCTTCTTCACTTGCTTTCCAGCCAAAAGAACAGTTTGTGTTAGTATGTTTAAGGAGAGGAAATTGAGACTGTTAATAACAGAACTGGCCTAGAAATCATAAGTTATAAATTTTGCCACAGTCTTAACAGGCTTTTTTTTTTTTTTTGTAGCTGTGGAAGGGGGAATTGTATCTCAAACTTTATTGTTAAGTTATTCTGCAGTCAAAAGATAAGTGTATTTTTAAGCATGTGTTTGGGAACAAAATAAGGATCTGGTTTTTTTATTTGAAAATACTGATTCATAAGAATGAAAGGTGTCCAGAGGAACAAAGCAAGAAGATTTGTGTTTTGAAGAGCTGTTTGATATGTGAGAGTATTTATAAAGAGACAAGGGTAGGTCAAAGTATGTGTTTGAAAGGGGAAGAATAGAAAAGGAAAGAAGGAAAGAAAAGACCCCTTTGTTTTTTCCCTCTATGAAATCAAAGTAGCAAAATTTCAGGCTTTTTTTCCTGAGATGTAGGACAATTTCTGTTCTCTGATCTTTCTGGTTAAGAACAGAAGCTTGGCTTTGGTGCTTTGGTGTTGCAGGTAAATTATTCTATCTACACTGGAAAATTCAGTTTCTTATATAGTTTTAGAAACTTTTGCATTTTTGCAGAAGCAAAAAGACAGGAAAGATCAAACCCACCTAGGAGTGCAGGTTTCCTGCTTTGCTGCCCCCTCTCCTTGCTGCACTGTGCAAGCTCGGGTGGCTGCTGAGGGGGCTTGGGGGTGCTCTGCAGACCTAAGGCAGAGTCACTGCTCAGCAGAAAACTGAATTTTATAGTTCTTTAAAAATACTGATCTACTGATCCTTACCTCCTGCTGGCCTCCAGAGGGAGAGTGGTGACACCAGCTACTATCAGTTCAGTACATGAAGGGCTATCGGAAAGAAAGAGGAATCTCCTTCAAGTCAAAATTTTGTGGGTTCCTCAGACAAGACATGTTGCCAGGCCCACATTGCATCTGCTCTAGCTCATAGATTTCTGTGTGTGTGATTCGAATTTGTGGAACCAGCAGTCACATGGCAATGGTTGTGAGTCGTAGAAGCTCCTTATTCTTGTCATAAACGGTTACTGTGAATTGAAGGAAAACACAAATGTAAATGATATTTTGATTTTTTCCTGCTCCATGCACTGATTTGCTGTTGAACAACTGCCTAGAATTTCAAATAACTTAATCCCAGCTGATGTATCCCTGTGAATAAACATGTCCTGTAACATCCTGCTCATCAAAAAGGATACAGTGCATTAAAGGGGACTTAAGTTCTAAGGAATGAGTTAAATGAGTCACTTTTAGAGGTTTTCTCTTGGCTAGGCTAGTATGTTTCACCTTAGGATGCTCTTAATGAACTGCCAGAGTCAACCTAGAAGAGCAGTTCACAGTACAGTGAAATTAAAAGCATCTTATAAACCTTCAGAAGACCATAAAATAATAAAGAGGCATGATTAAAACATACCTCGTCTCACAAGCCTAATTTCATCTACAATAGAATAATAGGTATTGTAGACTGTGTAAAAGCTGTGACTGTCACATAATTACATACTGGTATTACTGATATCTTTGATAATATTTTTGTAAGCAAATGGTGAAATTAAAATCTGGGTAAAACTTTACAATGCACAACTTGAAATTCTGTCCATATAGTCATCAGTCCTTCAAAGTCCATCACAAATTATGTTGGATGTTTCCATAGGAACACGTCTTGAATGTTCCTTCAGCTGACTGCAAGACAAAAGAATAGAAAAATTGAAATTTACATTTATTTCTTTAAATGGAGAAGTCTTTCCAGTAAATAAGATGCAATTCAATGAGAGCAACTGCAGAGTGCTACACCTTGGCACAAGTAATGAGCAATCCAGTAGTGAAACTGACTGGTTCAGTACAATTCCCTAAGGAAGTTTGCAAGCTTATGAGAGACCCCACCACTTCAACTCTCCTGTTTCCTCTTTCCTCACTGCTTGTAAAGTCTCAGTTGGAATTCAGTGCCTAAATTTGCATTTGTTGCTTAAAAAGTAGTACATTAATCAGTTGGAGAAAATCCACAAGAGTCATTAGACCTTTAGAAATATGACTTAAAGCTAAGCTTTAAAGAACTGATATTGTTTAGTCTAAGACTAAAGAAGACAGAAAAGGGACCTGATAAATGTATTCAAATATGTAAAAGGTTGCTGAAAGAGAGTTACAATCTGTTATTTGTGTTCAGTGGGGCATCTCAAGAAGAAAAAGTCTCAAAATGCCACTTGAGAATTTTAGATCTGGTATTACAAAGATTGTCTTCAGTGTAAAGTGTATTTTTAAATATAATGATAGCAAAGGACTGAAACTGAGTTTGTGGACAATATGTGGAATCTCTAATTTTTAAAGACCTTGTTTATAAGAAATCTTATATAGTTTTTGTTCAGAAATTACTCTAGGAAGAACAGGTCCTGTCTTGGAAAGATAGGATCATGAACTCCCTTCCTAT